GAAAGGGTTGATAAGCCATAAAAACAAATCAATCAACATTGAAGGGTGTCTCCATGTTTTTGTTAGTGATATTACGCCTATGAATAAAACGAAAAAGAAATAGTTTCTTCAGGGTACTTAAAGTTTTTTACGGTATTTTTTAATTTAGTTACATTACTTTTTTTAATTTTCGACATGATTTGAACTCACATTTGATATTAATGTGCCTTTGAGGAGGCTCCGTGCCTTGACCGCCTCTTGGAACTTAATCTCAACCCAAACCCCAAGTGGAATACATACATGTTATTCATCATGACGGTCGTCTTCGAGTATAGAATCCTGAGGTTAGCAGTGAATATTTCGAAGACAGTAGGAAAGCGTTGTTCAGGTTAGCAGTGGATATTTTGGTAAAAGTAGCAGAGCGTAGTTCGTACTTCTGTTTCTCTTCGCCTTACAAGCTGGACTGGACATTCGGGTAGAGTGAACAAAAATGGCCGCCTTTATACACGACGGATTGAATATTCTACGTCTTCTGATCGGTAGACTATAAAGTGAGTCAAGGCATTTGGACTAACTCACTAGTACATATATATACACAAAAAACTGCAACACCTTGACTGCCTCTTGGGACTTAATCTCAACCCAAACCCCAAGTGGAATACATATATACGATTTATCGCTAAAGATGCCGTGTACCACTCCAGCTAGTTTTTTCACTCTCCTCTACCTATACAAGGTCCAGATCGGACTGAAATAGGGTACTGCTGCCATATATGAATGAGAGCTAGACAGCCTTCAGTTTTCACTCTCGATAAGCGTCTCCGTCTCCTTGTAGGCGACGGGTTACTTTCCACTCTGCAACCCCTATCTCACAGACAAAACGACGTAAGCCTCTCGATGTTCTATCGCCATTTCTATGGAGAGTGTTCCACCAGTCCTAACTTTCACGGCTATATTTCACATTGTAGTGAACCACCCTCATTCACTTTATATTCCCATGGTGAGATGCAGTTTCCACTCAGACAGCTTGTTCCCACGTACCGCTGCCTTATGGAATCGACTCCTAAGAGATTGATTCCCTGATCCCTACAATCTTAACCTGTTCATGTCAAGTGTTAATTCCACACATATCCGCATAAACTTTGCCTCTTACTCTTTAACACTCTGCTTCATAAAGTAAGAACCATAGATAAAGATGATAAAGAAATAATGTAGCCTCTAACGAGATTTGAATTCGCACTTTGCATTATTCAGAGTTCGCCTGACATTTTTTTTAGTGGTGTTCCCCTTGTACAAGGCCGGGGCGCAACTCGAAATAAATCAACTACGAAATCATCAACCTCGCTAAACAAGTGTTGAGATGTTGAGAGTGTTCCCGCGTGCGTGTATTCAAATAAGGACAAACACATATGTAGGGAAAAATACTGGTATATTTGAAGAGGTATTTACAACAGAGAGGTTAGTCAAACGAACGCAGGTTAGTAAGTAACAATCAGCAAGAGTCTAAAGTCCAATGGTAATTTCCGGTAAAGAGACGGAAGTGTAATGGTCACCTGATCTCTTAGCTCTCCCCAGAACTCTCTAGCACTGTCCTATATCGTAGAGAGATCAGTCCATTCTCATGAGAAGGTGGGTAGCCCCAACAACAAGTAACGAGAACTAGAGGAAAACTACGCCGAGGACAGTTCTAACAGATGCCTTCTATATTCATTTAATGAAAATCCCACAAAAAGAACAATAAATAAATGGTTTACGGAAGAGTATATTGAAGTAATGAAAGCATTTTACACCGCTACGATAAACCCGGCAACGACAACGACTAAAGTCGCCTATAATATCTGGCGAGAAAAAAAAAAACCTTAAGCAGACTAAACATTGATGCTAAAAAACTAACCAATATCAGGCGTGACATCATCAGGGAAAAAAAGTATACCTGAAAAGCATCCGAGAAAACATTATAAATATATTAAACGTTAACATTGAAGGGCTAAATGCTAACAACACAAAGAAGACATGTGCAGAAGAACAAATAGAAACCAACTGTAATAATCCCTTTGGCTAAGCAAGCAAATAAAGGAAGATAATGACGAATATGATAGAGAAACAGAGATGGCAAAAACATCCGATATGAATGGAAGATTGTAATTGAAATGTCTTTCGAGAAAAGGCCGACAATTCCAAAAGTAAGAAAGAACCATCAAGTGAAGGAAATCATCAACCTCGCTAAACAAGCAATTAAAGAAATAAGGGACGAAATGGAAAGACCAATGAACCTGATGGAAATTAATCATCTTATATACTCGGCCTCTGCAACGATCGCAGAAATAATAGGTGAAAAATTAAAAGCACAATGTAAACGAAAAAGAAAAATGCCAGTCTGGAAAGAAAAAATAGAAACCGAAATAAATCAACTACGAAAACAACTGTCAATTCTGGGTGAAGTAAACAAGAGCTCAAAAATGAAAGAAAGAAAATGGAGACAACTGAATATGAATGACGTAGCTAAAGAGAAGCTGAAACAACAAATTCAAGCGAAGGCACAAAGAATCAGGCGTTATGAACAAAAGAAAGAAGATTCTTCTGGCAAAACAAGATCTTCAAAGAAGATGCCAAGAAACTATTTCGAGAAAGAGGAAAAAAATAAAATAGAGATAAATGACCAACCTAATATCCAGGAAGTCGAGGAGTTCTAGTGTATGGTGTGAGAAAACTGCGAAATGCACAATGAAAGAACAACATGGATCATGCAAAAACAGGAACGGACACACAAAAAATGGACGGATATTACTGAAACAACCGCTGCCATCTTCAAAATGGAGACTGGAATGCATCAGGAATAGATCGAATAGCGAATTTTTTTTTATAAAAAGCTTATCTATCACCCACCAAGACCTCGTACGGGCATACAATGATATAATCATAAACCCATAAAATACCCCAAATAGTTCACGTGGGGATTAACATACCTACTCCCAAAAACAGAAGAGACGCAAAACCCGAATACGTAAAGGCCCATTACCAAAAATGTACAAGATTCTCACTTTTGTCATAACCGAGAGAACATAAAAAAACTGAAAGACTACACTAAATCCAAACGATACAAACGGACCATTAACATCAAATCAATATCAAAAGTGGGATCTTCCAAACAGATTCATTGACACCACTACTCTGCTGCCTTGCATTAGTGCCACTCAGCTACATACTTTACTGTAGCTACGAATACAAGTCACAGAATGGCAAACTGAATCACCTATTCTATATTGATGATCTTAAAACGTTTTCCAAGGATGACAACCAACAGAAAAAAACCTACTCACCACCGTCAAAACTTTCAGCGAAGATATTAGGATACAATTCGGTATCGATAAATGTGTCAACGCCACCTTCATGGGGCTAAACTAACAGAAAACTACAGATTTAGACATTGGTATCAACAAGATTAAGGAACTAGACCAAAATTATACATACAAATACTTAGGAGTTAATGAAGGAGACAGAATACAACATATAATTATGATGAAAAAGATATTACAAAAGCGTGCTTTTTTATACTCGAAAACGGGGCCACAAAATGAAGGCTATCAATATACAGTTTCAATATTATTAAATGGAAGTTGAATGACATTAGAAGATTGAACGCCAAGACCAGAAAAATGCTTACCGAAATGAAGATGCGCCACAGAAAATCACAGGCTCTACGTATCAAGAGATTTAGGATACCGAGATCTAATCCAACTTGAACTAACTCTAAAAACTATAACAATTAGTTTGGAAGTATACCTCATAAAGTATACCTCACAAAAACCAATGATCCTCTCCTACAAATAGTAAAACACCAAATCTACTCCATCAACAAAGAAGCTGCACTCTTCAAGACACAGCTTAATATACCTGAAATTCTACCAACAAAAAACAGGAAGGGAATATTATCTACATCAAACGAATAAACCAGAAGGCAAACAACTTGGCCAAATTAAATTACAAAAAAAAACAAGGAGGACACATGCCTAAAAATAACGAAAGAAGCAGATGTGGACCAACAGAAAACACATGAGTGGCTGAAGAGCACCGGGTTGAAAGCTGGGACAGAAGGCCTAATTATTGCAGCTCAGGACTAAAGCCTCGTAACCAGATCCTATCACTGTCATATAATCAAGGATGGAATTAACCCGAAATGCAGAATCTGCGGAAAATGTGATAAAATTGTCGACTATATTATCTCGGGATGTTCGGGACTAGCAAAAATGAATATAACCACGGACATGACAAGGTAGCGACATATGCACACTGGAAGATATGCAAGAAGCACAAAATCGAAACCACTGAGAGTTGACATATGTACCAACCAGACACAGTTACCCAAAAAAACGATGTAACTATCCTCTGGGACATGCCAATTCAAATTGATAGGGAAGTAAAAGCCAACAGACTTGATATTATCATAAAAGACAAGAAATTCAGGAAGTATATGCTTATTGACATAGCAGAGAAACACCTCCATGAAAATTATCGAGAAATTTTCCAAATACAAGGACCTGGAGAACGAGATTAACGTGATGTGGGAAATGAAGACTGATAATGGACCAATAGCAATCAGAGCTCTGGACCTCGTGAGAAAAGGAATGGACAATTTTACTAACAGAGTCGCAGATAACATCAATATACAAGTTGCTCAGAAGATCGCCCTACTAGGAACATCCCATATACTACGAAAAGTGCTATCAATTAAATGACAATTCTCTTATAGGGCCTAAGAACATTAGTTTGGACCCGGATCTACAGGATACAGAATAGGAAACATAACATACACAAATATAAAAACATATTGAAAAAATCCCTGGAAGTCCCAGCTTAAGAGAAATACAAAAAAATGTACAACCCGCACATTAAGAATAACTTTGTCCATGTAACACTAGTAATGTTATGTGATAAAAACAAATCATGAAATGTAGCCATAACAGTGCACCACTGCCTGCCTTAGGTCTTCCCGTAGACTTGGTAGGTAATATGACCATTACAATAATAGATAGATAGATAGATAGATAGATAGATAGATAGATAGATAGATAGATTTGTACCTAATTATCAATTTATTGGCGTGCCACTCATTCATTCATTAAATAATAATAATAATAATAATAATAATAATAAGAAGAAGAAGAAGAAGAAGAAGAAGAAGAAGAAAGAAAGAAAGAAAGAAAGAAAGGTTAACATTTTACTTGGGAAAGACCAGTGCGACTGTAATGTCCCATCCTCGTTGATACCCCAAAGAAACCCGTGGATTTCAAATGCTGAGTTTATAGATAGAAAAGACTTCCTCGTTTGGAAGACTGGCGTAATACAATCTTCTGTTAGTTTCACCTGTGACTTATTAAGCTAACCTTATAAAATACTGAGTTCAATCATCATTTCAATCCTATAAGCCTTAAAGGAGGCTATTCTACATCTGACTATATAGACTGACGCTACAATATCACAATCAAAGACCTATACCAAATAACAAAATCCTCATCACTTGAACACTTCCAGCAGTGACAACAGCAAAAATGGTCATCGCATTTAACTAGAAGCGAAAATAATGATTTAATGAAGATGTTCACATTCCACTCTACCTTAAGAAGCAAAAGGTTTTTACTGTTAGTTCACCCAATACAAGATCCAAGAGCCACTCAAGGTAGAGTTAATGAGATTGTTGTAAGGGGAGGGGAAGGAGGAATTAAGAAATGTACATTATGAGAAGGTGTAGGACAAATATAAGGTTGCCCCTGGACTTAAAGAGACCAAGATTGTATAGATCAGGGAAGTATCCCCTCAGGAGTTTGTTCCACAAAGTAGCAGTTTTGAGGAGGAAGCTAGCTGAAATTTGAGCCTTATTATAGGAACACAAAGGGAATGGGGGTAGTTTGCCATCTTGAACCTGGCATGGTAGGTTCTAGCTGTGAAGGTCTGATGTAAGGAATGTAACTCGTTCAAACATTTGTCATAGTAAAACCTATATAGATTAGTGACAGGCTAGCGACTGTTCGTCTATAAAATAAGGGGTTGTAGGGTGAAGAAAAATTCATTACCCTCAAAGACACGTCTGTGGGATAAGGGTTGCAGGGTAAGAAACTCCCGTCAGTATTAGAAATTGTAATAACTTACAGTGGACTTGATAAGCCTAATTTCCTGAAAAGCTGTCTAAAAAAGATTTTGTAAATTTCAGCCGACTATAATGCTAACAGTTCGGATAATGAATGCCTAACGTTTCCTGTATGGAAACGGCTATTTCCACCATTACCAATGCAATTACTGTACTCGACTAAGTCAAACGTAGTTTAAACATCGAGTCTTCTTGGTGAATTAGTTGCGTATTTGCCATGAGTGTCACTTATCGGTGTTCTAGGATTAGGAATTTTCATTTTCATGATAAGACATTACCCACTAAGAAAACTGGTGCAACACTGTTATGCCCCACACATTTTTGCATTAACCCGTGGTTACCAAAATAGGACTCATGCCCCACGAGGTGGGGGCTATTTGATTTTTAAGAGGCTCCAATTAGAGAATGAGATTTTAACAGTGATTTTTTTCTAGTGAGTCTGTGTAAGTATGAGTGTGTGTACAAGTTGATATATACGGTGCATATACAGAATGCATACATAAAAATATTTGTGTATATATATATGTACATGTGTAATTACGTATGTACTATATATATATATATATATATATATATATATATATATATATATATATATATATATATTACTAATATATATATATATATATATATATATAGTACATACGTAATTACATATATATATATATATATATATATAGTACATACATAATATATATATATATATATATATATATATATATATATATATATATATATATATATATATATTAGTTACACAGTATTTTCTATTGCATATATGCAGTTTCAAGTTCTTAAGGGAAGTTAATGGCCTTATGGCTCTCCACCCCTCTCTATCCCTTGCAGCTCTCAACAAGTTCCTTCCATCTACTACCTCCCTCAGACTACGTTCTTTCAACCGCTTGCTCATGCCCGCCGGGTATGTCATGCGTTGTTTTCCCTTGTCCCTTTTTCCCTCTATTCGATCCGTGAGTATCAGATTCTCCAGGCCCTCCTTCCTCATTATGTGTACCAGGAACTTCAGCTGCCTCATCCTGATGCTAATTATAAGTCTTCTCTTTGTTTGCATCCTCTCTAAGACCTCATCGTTGCTCACACGTTCGGTCCATGATATCCTTAGCTTCCTTCTGTAGAACCACATCCCGCCTCGAGTCTCTTCTTCAACATTCGCTGCCGTAAAGAAGGACATATGTCACGTAACAGCTCAGTATTCTTTTCTTTGTTAAAAAAGAAATCCTCCTGTTTCGCAATACTCTGCCCAGCTTTTGGAACGCCACCTTTTCCATCCCAATACGTCTACGGATCTCAGTGTCACATTTACCGTCCTCTGTCAAAACCCTTCCCAGATATTTAAATTTCAGCGTCTGCTTGATTCTAGTGTTCCAGACCTGCAAATTTCGGGCTCATCTTTTCTTTCACATTTGGAATAATAAGAATTATATGTCACTGGGGTTGGGGGCATCAGGATTTTAGAGATGCTTAGGTGAGGCATGACTAAAAAAAGGTTGGGAACTACTGCATTAACCACAGCTTAGTAGATATCAATAATAGTTCTTTCTACGACGACCATATACTCGATAACGTTCTGTTTCGAGATTTATGGCATGCGTTAATATCTTTATTAATAATCATAGAATATCAAAGCCAAAGTCGACAAACGCATTTCTATAGAGAAGCCAATAAATCAATGATATCCATATTCGACTTGTAATAATTTTTCATGTTTCTTTTTAAACTGGGTTTGAATTCAGTTGCTGAATTCAAGGAGTGAAATGATTGCGTTAAAAGAAACCGCTCACAAAAAAAAGGACAAGATGAAAATATCAATACTTATTGGCTAAATTAGGCATGTATTCAAATTTGCATAATAAGCAAATCGATGCAGATCAATCAATCAAGTCAAGGTATGATAAGTCGATTGCTAAACACTGGGTAAGAGAATATATGACTTCTTTTCAATGTCGGATGTTGAACATTTAAACTTCCTCTGCCTAACACATTTGAATTATTTTTTCTGAATGCGATTCTCTTACGTTCGCTTGCACATCAAATAAAGATTTGATTTGGGCGTCTTTTAACAGAAATTTTGCATTCATACAATTTGGTCAAAAACCAATGATAGTTCTTTTTTCCATATTTTGGACTATTTTTCTGATTTCTGGTGAAAATTTATCCACTTTCTGAGCATTTTCGGCTTTCTTAAAGACAAATAGGCTATGTCAGTTTCGGCGTTTTTAGATATCGCCTCATCTGACGTCATCTTGGTTTTTAAAGTATTGCGTCCTCATGCGTCAGTTTGTATTGCTTTTTTTTAATGAAAAATAATATTTAAATTTTAACTGGTCCGAAATATAGAAAAATAAATAAATGCATCCATGACAAACAATTATACAGCTAGATATACAGGTTGAGTGGAAACAAACTCCCGATCTAAAATTGTTCATATTTTTATTAGTTATTGGTCGATTTTCATTAAAAAATTATTTTGAACAGTATAATGTTAGAAACAGTGATTAAGTATAATGTTTCTTGAATTTCGGGGGGGGGAGGGAATAACGTTGTCAGCATTTTAAACTATTGGCGATTTTCAGTAAGGAAGATCATACGTGTAAACATCTTTTGCTTTTCAAACAGGAAAAATTCTTAAGAATTTTTTTCTCTATAGAAGAAATGTTTTCATTTTTAAATGAATAAGTTAGAAATAAATCCCGGGCAGCGACATGTGATAATCACACTCTCATCAGTGATAATATTATATCAAGAGTACAATTTTTTAATTATAAAAAAATAATCTTTTCTAAAAAATAAACCTTCCTACCATTTCTAAAGTATATGCTTACGCATATGGTCTTCTGTAATGAAAATATCTGAAGTACCTACTGTGAAAAATTACCTTGAATCTTTTTAGTAGTGCAGCCTGTCTTGTGATAAGCCATAGATCATGTGACCCACTGCTCAAAAAGGTTACCCATGCCTGCTTTAGGCCTTTTGAATGGTGGTTACTTAAAATTTACGATTCCACGGATGTGGTCATTGGTTATTATGTTTGAAGACAAGCTCCAAAATTCATTTTTTACTTTCTTCACATTTTATTTTTTTTAGTTATATTCCTTAAGTATACTAATACATACGCAGTAATAATTAAAGTGCAAAACAATTTTAACATTTTTTACAGCAGTTTTCTCCCTTTGCTAAGGCCCACCATTCCGCCATCCATTCACACAAGCCCTCTGCTTTCTCTTGCTCTCAGTATGCCTCGTGAGAGTTAAGTTCTCCAAGCCTTCCTTCCTAATTTTGTGTCCAAGGAATTTCAGGTACTATTCTGAAGATAATCTCATGTTCAGCCATTTTGAAATGTCGTGATAAAAACCATTCATACAGTCCATCTTCTGCTATGTAATATGTCCTTTCAAGATATGAATGATCTTGGCTTTCCACAACATCCTGTCTTTTACGTCTGAATTTCTAGGATGATGAGTTATCATTGTTTATATTATTAACATGCAAACTCATCTTTGTTGTTGTTACCACAACGATTCGGTCGTTGTGTCCTCCGGCCTTCACCAGGTGCTTTTCTATTCAATGAGTAGAGGTTCGGAATGAGACATCGGCGAAATTTCAACCAGGTTCGTTACATTCACTTACACGCAAATACACTCAGAAAATATATGAATCCTCCTCCCCACCCAGATATGGGTTAAATAGTAGTACTAGTGTCTGATAAGATCATTTTTATTCCCCAAAAAGTTGTTAATGCAATATTTACTCATAAAAAGAATTATTCTTACAATCAAAAATATGTTTCGGTTTTAAAACACCTACAAAAAGTTGATAAATCGTAAAAAAATCAATCATTCATGTCTTTTGAATAAAAAGAGTTAATACACACACACACACACACACACACATATATATATATATATATATATATATATATATATATATATATATATATATATATATATATATATATATTTGATTACGCGTTTCGCCATTCAAGGCTACATCAAATCCCCAAAACGAAAGAAAGTAATCTCTATTTTTGTGTCTGATTAAATAATGATTCCTATTTCCCCTAAGCTGGCGTTTCTCGTTATTAAAGAAGAAAGGAAAATGAGTTAAAAATCCGTTAATATTTATTCTGTATAAGTCTTAGTTTATGACGAAAGTTGTTAATATATTTCCCAGTTTTTTGTATCAAATTAAAGGTAAATCCTCATTTCATTTTCAGAATGGTTCGAAAGTAAGAAATTCATGTTCTGGTATTTTGATAGTTTTTTTTTTGTTTTGGGGGGGTTTTTTTGGAAGATCTACAATGCTACATTACAGTCTACAGGAACTGCCATGCCAATAACAAAATACATTCTGTTTTTGTTGTCTTTGATCACTACGTTTGGTCGATTAGCTTTGATTGTTTTGTCTATTTATTATTATTATTATTATTATTATTATTATTATTATTATTATTATTATTATTTCCTTCGATTTCTGTTCTATACACATTTACATGCGGGTCCCAACCAGAGATCTAAAGTCAGAGATGGCTTCATGACATTTTCCACTAATCATTTTTGTAAAAAAATAAAAATAAAAGATCACACACATTTTACATAGATAAAGCTCTTCGTAATATATTTATTATTATTATTATTATTATTGTTGTTGTTGTTGTTGTTGCATTGACGTTTATTCAAAAAACAGAACCGAAAAAAAACAATAAGGTAGGCTTACCACGCTTCTATGTTTGGTCAGGACTGTCGCGGTTTGCGAGGTGTGTCACTGTTGCCTGTATGAGTTACCGGTATTTAATTGTTTCTTTTCGTTTTTGTTAAATTTTGTTTTTTTTTTACTGCTTCGTCTGACCTTCATTTTAAGGGGTATTAGATCATAAAAAACACTTTATTATACAAAAAAACGTAAACCTACAATAAAAATTTTAAATTGCCCCGGCTTAAATCTATCCAATTGTGGAAAGCATAATAACATCATCTCTAATCTTCTATTTGCTTTAGAGGTTCAGATTAACACAAGTCTGCAAAGTATTAGACGACTAGGCGCTGATTCCCAGTAAAAGGCGAAATTTTGTTTGCTTTTGTGGAGCCAAGAGAAATCATCTTTACATTCGAGATCATTGGGCTGTTTTCTCTAGCACGTTATCCACAAGCTAATAAAACAACGTAAAACATTACACCCCCCTCTCTCTCTCTCTCCCCTCTCTC